GGAAACATCAAAAGAGCTAAATCTGACTAATGGATTGCTGTATTGAATATGATTTTCCTGTACCATATTAGTGGTAGCTGAGTCTTTTAAAATTCTTGTACATTCATTTTATGCATTGGAGGTAACCCTTTTTCTGCATGTAATTTTTGCTCTTTAGATAAATTAGCTAGCTTGTAATGTATGAGATGAATCTATGAATTTGATTTTGTTAGTTTGGCATTTTTCTTTGAGGTAGCCATATATTGTTTTGGGCGTATGCCACTCAAGAATGTTTTGCTAGCACAGAATGCTGGACAGTTTTCGACTTTGGACTCGTGATCAAGTGCAAGTGGTATAGCCTTATGGAAATACCTCTATTGATCAAGATCGAACAATATAGCTGTTTTTGTTTATGGAAATTCATTACATATGAGTGTAACTAAATGAAGTTTTAACACATCCATCTAATCATCTTCTATGCCTGATAGGTGTGGTCACTTCTGCAGTTTTGCGTTCAGGTAGAATTTTATTTGTCTGAAATTAACTTAATGGTCAAAAATCCGAAAGGTTGTGTTTCTACCACATAAATGGCATATTGAACTTGCATGGTTGAACACATTCTAATCTGTTTGAGTTGTATAACTTGTATTCTTAACTTACCACTTTATGGTAGAATAATTGTTTGGTTCAAAAAAATATATTGTCACAATTTTGACTTAAAGACGGTGGAAATTTACAAGAAGCAAATTTAAGTATGGATCAAGTACCATACTAATTCAATATAAATGTAAGATAGATATTGATTAAGAAAAATGATAATATCACAATACTGATCTCTTTCATGAGTTTGGTAAGCGAATTTGAGCGATTAAGTTAGGCTTTTGGTTGAGTTGGTCTTCTAACATAGCATCAGCGTAAATTTTTGGTTTTTCCTCATGGAATATATAGCCCTATGTATAAGGGGATCATGCTATCAGAATCAAACTCGTAGGAACGGGCAAGTTACAATGGGGATGGTAAAAATGATTGCTCTCTTACAACTCCAAAAATGTTATACTAGATGTTGAGTAAGCTTAGGGTTCAACGACTTGCAATCAAAATTTTTTTTTGAGAATTCTATCACATTACAAAGGGGCATCGTGGATGATGTCATGTGTGCAATCTTGAAGAAACAAACTTCCAGTTAAAGGGAGACAAATACATGCCTTCGATTACCCAAAAAACCAATACCTTGGATTTTACTCATAGATTCATCACTTGCCTAAACTTAAATTATGTAGGGATTTGCTTTATAAAATTACAAGTAATATACAAGTATATGCTACTTGTAAATTATTCCTCTTAATTAAAGTAGTGTCTCATAAGTTTACACTTTTGGAATTGGAAATAGAAAATACTTGTTGCCTTACATTAGCACGTGAAAGTTATACAAATATAGTTTCTCCTTCATTTATATTTATTATTTATAATGATGTAGAGATGTAGTGATGTTAATCTTTCTTTAAGTGATAAGTATATATATGACTAATCTTGTTTTATATCCAACATCATTACAACTTCTCTAAAGGATTAAAAAAAGTACCTCGTGAGGTACATGAGTATGTAAGGGTGAAAATAAAAGGTTGTTCTTATAAAGGTCTACATAGTACATACAATAGGTTTGGTCTGGTTTGGGTTTAGTACATACTTTTCAAGTCAATGCATATGTAGAGCTATTGATTTAGGTATTATCAAGTGACACAAAGATTAAATCAAGATTTTTGTGTTTCTTGAGGTCAAGTTAATATTGATTAGTAATTGATCGACTTACTATTCTAAACTTCTAGTTCATCAATTGGTCCAATCTATTATATAATGATCTCTCTAATTTCTTGTGGTGATATATTTTATTTTATGTCATTAAAGTTATATACGAAGTATGATTCGTCACTTACAAATCATGTACTAGATAACTAGGTTTAGCATGACTTGCAAATATTGATTCATGCACTACAAGCTCTGCTGCTCTAGTGACATGATAAATGACTCCTTTTGAATTAAAAAACTCAAAGTTTGGGTCATTTTAGGTAAGTGTCCAATTCAGTTCAGTTTCGAACTATTTAGAAATCAAGTTCTCATGTACTAGATTAGCAGTTACAAACCAAGATACTTCATAATTTTACATATTTATAGGTTAATTAAATCGAGTCTAAATTTGGATAATTTAATTCAAAACAGTCATTAAAATTCACGAGAAATATAATAGTGATTTTGAGGTATTATTGAGACCCGAAGAGGGGCTCGCCGGCTCGCCACTCAAGATGATATAAAGTTGTTCCAACACTTCAAAATTTTAGCCATAAATACAACTTGTAAAAGGTCAATACCTACAGCTCAGACCCGTGAGCTAAACAAAATCAAGGAAAGCCTCAAATTCTTGAACACTGACTCAATCAAGCCAGATCAAAGTCAAGCATTTTAACTCAGATTTACTTTGTTGAATTAAAAACATGTATACACTGCAAAATGCATGTTACTTTTTTCCTGAACATAAAATTGGAATTCATAAAGTATTTAATGCACAATAATTTATTAGTACATAAAATAAATATTACAAAAATTGAGTAAAATTGATACTATAAGAATATACTCCTTAAAAATTGAGCTATATTTTGATAAAAAGTTGTACATGAAAAAAATGCATCTTTGACTATAAAGTAGACAATCATACTAAGACAAAGAAAAATGGCTAAAATCATGAAACAAACTGTTACATTTCTTTAGTGGACTGTATGGGTCTTAAGCTAATTTTAGAACTATATACCATTAAATTCTAACTCCATACATACTAGAGAAATTTTTTATATTGTAAATTATAAGTCATGGTACAATTGTTATAAGAATGTCAAAGAAACAAGTACATAACTTTGGATGAATGAGTTTATAAATTGGAGCAAACTTCATCATTCTCTTGCCAAAATCATGCAAGGAAATGATTCAATTGAAAAGTTTGATCGATTTATCAAACATTCACTATCTTTTGACTAAGATTATCCAAAAGGAATAAATTGAGCTAAGGTATAAACCGTTACTAGCTTAGTTTTACTTATAGTTTGCATATTGGATTAAAAGTTGATTTGATGAAATAATCTCTTTACTTTAGTATGACCGTTTTTTTTAAAAAAAATAAAAATAAAATAATTTAATGACTCCTCGTAGTTTATAGTGCATATAATCTAATTCAAAATGTCATTATACACACAATGAACTTGTATCGTACAATATTTAAATCTTAACATTAAAAATGCTAAAATAATAGTGATACCAAACAAATTCATCAACAATCTAAAAACTATGTTGTCTTATACAGAGTAACTATAACAATTAGGCAAATTAACCGATTCCAGTCCAATACTCTATGACCATATAGCACTCAATCATATACTAACTTTCAAACAAAAAACAATAATATGAACAAAATTGTAAACCAAATTTTAAATCAAAAGAAAACTGAAAAAAAAAACCCCTCAAATTATAGAGAAAATATGGGGAAATTAAAATAGTAGGGAAAAAAAAAAAAAAAAAAGGCAAGAGAAAGAAGTAGGAGTGACAAGGGTGTGATGAGCCATTAAATAATGTAATGATTTAAAGGATGATGTACAAATGGTTGCAGTGCAACTCTCCACACGTAATCTTTTCACAACCAGCCATTCTCATTTTCATGCATCTCTCTTCTCCCTCTTATCATAGCGTGCGTTTCTTCTTTGCATGCTCATGTATTTTTTATTTTATACTATAGTTTTTCATCATTATCTTTTTCCAAATTTTATATATTTTACTACTATAGTCTATATAGTATAATTCATTTTTTATAAACTAAAATAAATAAATTAATGTCTCACGTCACTAAATTTTATTCCCGGAGAACTCATTTTCCGGCAACTTGCAGACACTTAATTTGTTACATATCATACGTATATGTAGTGAGTCTATATTTTATATATATATTCTCAATCTCAATTTGATCTTATATTATACATTTATATGATTATATTATATATTTTGCCATGAATAAAGGTAGACGGACCAATCTTCATAGCCTGAAACTAACTGTACTATGACCATTATTTTTGGCGCCTATATATCTTGGTCAATCATATCCTAACAAACTTTTTTTCTTCATTATGTTTTTCTTAAATTCTCACATGCATTGTCCAAATATACAAATTAACTAGATTGTAAATTCGTGATCTTAGTATAATTAAACAAGCTTAATTAATCTCGACAAGTACATGTATATATACAATAATACACGTATGCAAACACGCACATATAAGCTCATACATACACATGTACATAGATACATACATACGAGTACATGTCAATAGAACAATTTTGAGTTAACTATAATGCTAGCCCTACTTATTGTTTAATTATTGACAATAGCATCATAGTTATTTCCCAATAATAATAATGCTAATGATTTTATCTATTACAACAATGCAACGTACATACATACCCTAGGGATTATATATAAAATCAATTTTGATATTAAACTAATCAATCAATTAATTACCTCCGTGTTGAAAATCATCCCCTCATGATGATTACCGTTATTATTATTATCCCTAATAAGCACCACTTTAGAGCTCCCGGTGCTGGAGTAGGGACTAAAGAGCGAGGCTGAGGCCGAGGGAGGCGGTGGCCAATCGGAAGGCGACAAGGTGGGGACGGGTGGTGGTGGTGGTTGGTGATTGTAGGATCCGGATTGAAGTTGACGGATTTGCCTCTTAAGAAACTTAACATAACGAATAGCCTCATCAAGCATAGAGGCAGTATCCATTTTAACACCGCCGGGCACTAACCGTTGGAGGATCCGAATCTTTTCGGATATCCGTTCCCTCCTATGTCGGGCCGCCACGCTTTGCGGGTCATTACTGATCCGAACATTCCTTCTCTTAGGCTTACGGATAGCTGCCGGGTCAATATCCACGGGTTGCATAACCGCAATCCGGTACATCATTTCTTTCATAGCTCCTAGCTCCTCTTCTTCCTCAAACTCATGCTCATCTTCCTCTAATATTATTTGTTCTTGTAGAGTGTTGGTTTGGTTGATGATGTATGATGATGATGGAATGGAGGGTTGAGATGAGTGTGGTGTAGGAAGATTATGGTAGGTTTGCCATACCGGATTTATTATCATGTATAAATGGATGAACATGATGGTTATGATGTTGATGATGATCATCAACATGTTGTTGATGATGATGATATGATGATGATGATGATGATCATCCATGTCCATGGAAAGGTTAAGGCCTTTATCCCAATTGATGATGGTGGAGTTGTGGTTTATGGGGAGTTTATTATTATGTATGTGGTTGATGTCCATGACATGAGTAATGAAGGTTTATGTTATTTTGGAGTGGAGAAAATAATAAAAAGAGAGGAGAGAATGAATTGCAAACCCTATTTAATGAAGTGCTTAAAAAGGTGGCCTTACCACCCTATGCATAATTTCTAACACATTATGATCTTTCTATTCAAGGACATATGATTAGGGTTTGACGTATGTATACTCCAATAGCCTTTTATGGGTTGTCAAAATTAAATTTATATTCGTTATATAATTTGCACCTCTAATATTAAGTACACGTGAAAACGTCCGTATAAAATATAATTTTAATGTTATTATTAGATTTTAGCCGACTAGGGAAGTGATGGTAGGATACAGCGCACGTGATATCTCTTAGCTTAGCTAGCTTCTTCAGTGAGACATACTATACTATACGTATATAGTATCAAGTTGGTTATTTTAGCCGACACATTACTAGTGAAATTACAATGTAGGTGTGGCCGTGTCACGTGTGGTAGTAAATACCGAACATATAATGAATGTCTAGTGTTTTGAATGCAATTAATTGGAAGAAAATAATTGACTAATTTTATTAATTAAGGGTAATTAAGTGATTTAATGTTGTGTCTACAATTGAATTTTATTAAATAAGGGGTAACTATGTGGTTTTAAATGTAATTAATGGAGTGTCTTTCTCTTAGCATTCAGTCATTCACCACAAAGCCATTTTACAAAAAGGGTGAATTTTAGTACCTCAAAGCATTAGAAGTTTACTTAGAAAATTCCAATTTTAATTTAACAACAAAAGGACGACAATTCATACAAAAATAATTTCAAGTTTACATTAATTACTAGCTACTTCGTATATTGTAGATTGGTTGCATACTATACGAGATTCTGTGTTACACATTATAGATTCAAAGAATTATCTAAAATTATGACTTCAAAAATGCTAACGGTAGAGTAATAAGATCAACTATTAAATTTTAATCCAAAAGGTACAATAATCCACTGGTCACAAAACAAATTAAAATTACTGTAGCAAAACTAGCTTAGTAATTAATTATGGTTTAAAACAATTATAAAAATGCACCTTTTTTGACGTAAACTATATATTTTAATAGGGAAGGGCATGAATCATACACATGCACAAGGAATACTTCCCTCCTTAGCAAATTAATGAAATCATTTCTCTATTTCAAATGTTTATAATAAAATTACAACTTTTATATAAGGTACTTTGTCATATATCTTAACTCTTTTGGGAACATTATTTTTATTTTCCATGCTATTAAATTGCTTTTTTTTTTTTTTCAAGATTACATGATTTTCATTTCTCTTTCTTATTTTCAAATAAAATCTTTACATTAATTTGAATATGAATTAAAAAGTGTCAATACAAATATATTGCAGCCATAATAATAATCATCCTAATATGAAACTGAAACTCATGTCTAGTTTGCTCCATCCCAAGTTAGCCAAACATAGCATATGGCACTATGAAAAGACTATGATGCCCTCTTCTTTTTATTACTTTAACACAAATTTCTCTCCCAAATCCCAACACATTTGGGAGGTAAAAAAATGGATGTTAAAAACTAAAGTTTTTAGTTATGACAATAAATTCTGTACTAGAAAAGGGGATTTTGGTAGTGGTAAGTACTAAATTAGAAATGATTAAGCTAGGGAAAGTGGAACTATTAAGAAAAGCTATACATACATACTAGATTACTAGTAGCAATCGTACAAAAAGAGTGAAATTGGAAATCTTAGTTTTACTATGGTAGAGAGGTCCACCGTTTTTTAATGCAAGTAACGTTTAATAAGAAGTCCAACTACTACCAAGATTGAGGGGATGAAAAAAGAAATAATCCTAAAGTCTTACAGGTACGTATATGTGAAACGCATGCCTCGTATTAGCCTATATAATAATTACTTTGTATGTAAACAAATTCAACCAGTATTATATAACAATTGACCCTAAATAAATAAATCAATCTTCTTAAAATCACAGTTTAACTTCCACTTTAAATTTGAAATAAGTACTTGTAATTGCACCAAAATGTTGTCAATTGTGATGAAACTAGTCTCATATATATGGATTAATTAAGTTTTTACAAATAACATACTAAGGATTATGTATTAAAGGGTTTTTAACCCTAACTAAGTAATTAATTTGAATTGAAATACTTTTCATCCTAGGGCATCAAAAGTAAAAAGGATTTTGCCCAAAAGAATTATTAGTACGGATTTATACCAATTAAAATAATATTACAGCTAATTATCATTATTAGAAGTCACTTGTATTGGGCAACACTATTTAGTTTTTACTAAAACAAAACTAATTTTACTTAATAATATTTCTTTAAGTTGTAGAAGGCACATAAAAATTGTATAGGGTAGCTCCTGCTGAGCTGCCTGTGCTCCAAGTGTTGTCCAAGAGGCGCGCTCTCATCCCAACCTAGATCTCCGGGCTCAGACTCAAGGCAGAGGCTCAAGCAAGGCAGAGGCTCAAGCAAGTTAGAGGCTTTGGCAGAAGCACCATAAGTCGGCCACTGACCGCTAGGCTAGGATTATGATACACTATAAATATCCCCTAGACTCACCATAAGAAAAGGTTGTTGAAATATATTTTTTTCTCTCTCTATAAAAAAGCACATTAAGCTTATTATTCTCTCAAAAAAGGCAAACACTTACTTAGCCATCGGAGGGGGGTTCCTCGAAGCCACCCCGAGGGCAGGTTTACGTTCTCTCTCTTGCAGGTTTGCCAACTGGCCAGAGGTTCCGGCCGCCAGCTCGAGACCCCAGCAAGGCAACCCAAGACCTAGCCATGCCGTCAGTGGTTCGACGACTCTCACCAAAACTACACCCGAAACAAAAGTGATTATCAAATACTCATAATTTAAATAGTTCATTTTTAAAAAAAAAATTAATAGTTCACTATAGTAAACGTACATTCTATTTACCTAGCTAACTTATTCTAGTTGTAAATTAAAATTGGTAGCTTAGTAATACTAGTATTTTTTTTCTTAATTTATTTTATCAAAACTTATTTAAGTGAAAATAAATATAGTGATCAGAGAGTGCAAACTTTTATATATTGAAGCTTAATTTACTCCTAATACAACTTGATGATAAGCTATCTACTTGTTTTCCCATCATGCCTTCCTCCCTTTATTGTCTCATTTTTTTTAACGTTTTGTTATTTTTTTTTTTTTTTGAAGTCTAACGTTTTGTTATTATTATTATTTGATAAAATTTAACATTTATTTATACTTGTATAGAAGTTGTACCATTGTTTTATCGAGAAGACAATAATCTGTTCAGAAATGATTGGCAAGTGACATTCGCATTCGATCAATTATTCAACTATTAGTTTATTTGGATTTTTTTTTTCTTTTTTTCTTTTTTTATTCTTTTTTTTTTTTTAAATTCTACGTATTTTTAAAGTTCAGGAAGAATTTATATAACAAAAATAAAAAGGTTCAAGATAAAATAAAAGTAAAAAAAAAAAAAATTAAAAATGTGTGCTGATCATTGTGCTACGTTTGCGATCAGCATCTCCAAGAAGTTAGTACAATTCAGTATTTATTTCATTTTTATAATCTGTGACAGATTGTAATACTTCTAATAAATTGTTGAATAAAATTATGCATGATCAAAGCTGCTTATTTTTTAAAACATTTAAAATGGTCTTTCGGTGGCTCTTTTGATTCCAAAATTCTCATATAATTAGTCATATTATTTCAATTCATCATAAATAATATTCATATATAGTAGTATTACAAAAAGAAGCTCTAACCACCTGAGTTATGATTCACTCTATTGGACCTCTGTATCTAAAATTGCACTATACTCATATCCTAACACACTAATCAATCTATGGGTATGATATGAATGGTATGGTGGTAATAATTAATCACAAACTATAAACATGCTAGAAATTGTGACAATTTTTCCAAACAACCTAAAATTATATCCCGTACTCCATCTATATATTATATTAGTATTATGTCAATTGGCCGCAACCTTAATTCGCTCCCAAACAACCCTAGTTGGTTTTGCATGAAGTCCCTCCCAGCATAAATGGATCGCAGAGCTAGAAAACTTATTTACTACCCCAATTGGAACCTTACTTTCACCGGAATTTGATTTGCATTAATTTACTGTTAGTTCCTACAATAATTCAATTTAAAAAATAAAAAAATTAAACAAACCCTTAAACCGATTTGACATATCATTAGACGAATATGGGCATAAATAATTGCTTTGTCAAATTAAATATCTAGATGTTTTGAGGCATTATTTACTACTTCTTCAAAGTTTGAAATTTTATAAAGAAGGTATTGGGTGCGGACGTTCGCACGTAAATTTGGTGTGGGAGGCTTGTCTGATATATTTTACTTGTTGGCTAATATGTTTCATGTGTTGGCTGATATGGTTTTTGTGTTAGCTAATACATTCCTTTTGTTGGCTAATATGTGTTTTTTTTTTTTTTCCTTTTGTTGGCTGATATCTGACATCATGTGACTTATATGTTACTTTAGTTTGCTGATATATTTATTTTGTTAGCTGATATGTATATTTTAATTGTTGGCTTATATGTTTCATTATGTTGGCTGATGTGTTTATTTTGTTGGCTTACCTGTTACTTTTGTTTGCTGATTTCATCTTTTTATTGGCTGATATGATTCATTTGTTGGCTGATATGTTCCGTCTCTTGGCTGATAAGTATCTTTTGTTGGCTGATATATTCCCCTTGTTGGCTGATATGTATCTTTTGTTGGCTAATACGTTTTTATTAATGTCTAATATGTCCCTAATATTAACTGATATCAGACATTTATTAACTGATATGTTGATTGTTTGGCTTATATACATCACTAGTTTTATTTTACTCCATTTTCTCCACTCACGCAACTCCACCGAACCACCAACCCAGCAGGGCACCACCGCTGCATTGTCCAGCCACCACTTCTCCCCTAAACACCAGGCCAGACCTGCTACGAGCACCATACCAGCCACACCGCAGCTCCTGCCGGAGCAACACATTCACACCACCATGCTGCAACAGAGAAGCACGGGT